AAAGGAGGAAGGAGAAAAGGAAGGAAGAAGAAAGGGAGGAAGGAGGGGAGGAAGGAGGAAAGGGAGGGAGGGAGGGAGGGAGGAAAGAAGGAAAGAAGGAAGGAAGGAAGGAAGAAGAGAGCGAGGAAGGAAGGGAGTGAGGGAGGGAGAGAGGGAAGGAGGGAGGGAGGAAGGGAGGGAGGGAGGGAGGGAGGAAGGGAAAGAGGAAGGGAGAGAGGAAGGGAGGGAGGGAGGAAGGAAGGAAGGAAGGAAGGAAGGAAGGAAGGAAGGAGGGAGGGAAGGAAGGAAGGAGGGAAGGAAGGAAGGAGGGAAGGAAGGAGGGAAGGAAGGGAGAGAGAGAGGGAGAGAGGGAGGGAGGGAAAAGTCATGACATGTAGCTGACAGGGAATCAAATGCAAGTCGTTTCATAGACTTGTTGGTAAAATTGTAAATAGTTATTTCTGGTTGGTTTTAAGTGTTTTGTGATATTAGAAGAAAAGTTACAAGTATAAACAAGACACCTGAGCGTCTGGGGAAAATGAAAATGAAATTTGGGAGAGTTGAAAAGTATCTAGAAAATCTGTGGTGACTTAAATTAAAATTAAATTTTTATGGTGATAGATCGAATATGAGATTGGTCAGAAGAATGACATGCTTTTCTTTTGCCAAAGTTGAGCTTTCAGGCACGGCTTCAGAGAAGCAAGTTTAAACATAGTCAGGGTTCTACGTGGTGGAACTGGTAATAGGCAGCAACAGGACCAACACAGGAAGTATCTTGACCAATGGAGAGTGTCTTCACTGATGAATCTGAAGAATTTTCTATGCCAGAATTTCCAATTAAATGAGGTGAAATAACGTCAGAGGTGGTTCAGAGAATAGAATACTTAACCCTGAGATTTGGAAGGAATAATACATCTTTGCTGATACCACAATCAAGCTATAAAGGTAAAGGACATTGAACAAAGAAGTGAATAAAAATGATGCAGATATTATGGCGACTATAGTTGGGTTACTGATGATGCTTCACAACAGAAGCATGTGAAAGAGTCATTGAGCCAGATAAGATCTTCAATGAGAGGGAAGAGTGGCTTAGCCATTGTGACTTGGCTTCAGCAAAGACAAGTAGATATTGTTATTTTGGGATAGTTGTTTCTACAGTGAAGCTTTGGAATTTCAGGAAGACTGGTTACGGGAAGCAACAGTGACCAACACAGGAAGTATCTTGACCAATGGAGAGTATCTTGATTGATGGATCTGAAGAATTTTCTATGTCAGAGTTGCCAATTAAATGAGGTGAAACAATGGCAAAGTGGGTTCAGAGAATAGATACTTCACCACTTTGAAGTGGTGAAATGGTCTAGAAATAGCACTATAAAATGAAAGGATGTATAGTAGTATATAAGATATAAATCATTCTTTAATTGGCAGGGCTTCAGGGAAAGAAATATCTTCAAGAGAGAGGTTTCAGTTAGAACATAAAGAAATTAACAGAGGGAGCAATGGGCATTTGATGATTAAAAAAAAGGTCTGAAAATTGAATAGAGGCTTTGTGGGGGTAAAACAGTTGACTACATTAAGGCATTAAGAATTGAGTCAGGGAACTGAAGATGTGGAGCGAGTTGCATAGTACATGCCCAACATGTGTAGGGCTGCGAGTTCAATCCCTAATACTCAATGTTTGCTTTCCTGTCCCCACTCTGCTCCCATCCCCAGCTCTACTCCTGACTTAGAAAAGGGCTGAAAGTGAATAAGAGTTTAGATGATGCCATGGACTGAATATTTATGTTTTGCAAAAATTTATGTATTGAAGTCCCTAAATCTATTGGGGTTATTTTTGAAAGTGGCACTTGGGAATTAACTAAGGCTATGATGACATGCCATTTATGATGGAATTAATGGTCTTATAAGATCTCTCTCACACATGCACGCACGCACACACACATACACACTCGTATGCAGGTACACATAGAAAAGGTCATTTGAGGAAACAATGAAAAGGTGGTATCCTTTTCAAGCCAGGAAAATAGTTCCTACCAGTAAACAACTTGGCTAACATCTTGATCTTTGGCTTCCAAGACTGTGAAAGTCTAATGTCTATGTAAGCAGCATGTGCTAAAAGAGATGGTAAAAAGAGTTAGATTTTTGACAGTTTATGAAGTATATAAGATGCACAGTAAAGTGTAATTAGTTCTAAAGTACTAAGGGATGGTGAAAATTCATAGACAGGCTACAGCAGACACTCCATAATAAATAGTTTTGAATTGTTCTTTGTATTCATTTAATCCTTGAAAATGAATGCTATTATATTCTCCTCAAGTTTCACAAAGTTATCAACTTATGGAATCATTAACGGATAAAGTTGAAGTACCATAGAAGAATGCAGTCCTACTGACATTGTGGAATATGAGTTCAGGACAAGAACTCGGGTACTTTTACTGCTTTACCATTTGTTGGTCTGTTACCCCAACGGTTAGATCTGATATATTCTTTTATTACAAACTACATCTTTCTGATACTCTGACACCTGGTGCTGAACTGACCCTTCCAGGACTAGACAGATTGGAGCATTCTAAGCACATGCGAATCAGCTACTCAAGAACTCTCCTGCTCACCACCTCCTTTATTAAGTTTTACTACTCTGAACATAGTTCTCCTGCCATAAATATGCCAAGGTTAAGTACCAAACAACTAATGACAGCCCCTATTAATCCATGTCTACCTTGTCTTTCTCAGTCCTTCCTGCAGAAACCACAACAAAAACTCGTATTTATGTTTTCCTGACAGTTGGTATTTCCCCAGTTGGACTAAAGTGCCATGATGTATCTTCTCCAATTGAACACTGTAACTACAACACATATTTATCTACTGTCTCTATTGGCCCTGGCAGAACTAAATAATAATAAAGCTTGTATTTTGAAGCATCCTCTGCATTGTTCTTGGATCAGCAGATAAAGCACTGGAGGGGAAGCGCAGGGAGCCATCCCTGCTACTCGCTCAGGTACCCCCATTCAGGGGCGTCTCTAGCATAAGTAGGTCTCCCACCACACCTCCCCTGCTCACCTCTCTGAATGTGGAAAACTGATTCCTTTCCCTTAAATAGGAAGGTCTATACTAAACATCTCCCCAGGCTTCTCAGGGAGTTTCTAATGAGGCTATTTAACATTCTTGTAAAGTCTCTTTGGACTTTACTTGTAGATAGACACATCTTTGATTTGGTTTGTTCTTTCAAGATCACTGAGCAATGCAAGTGCAGCATTGAGAAATATTGATACCGCACCAGAAAGGGAGGGAGATAAGAGGTAAGGCACTTTCCTTAGGTATAACTACAGCTACAATCATTGACTCTAACATCTATGTATCAAGTATGGTCCCTTGAGCACTTCAAGGCCTAGGGAGCCAGAAATAACCTCTGAGTACCTCTGTGTTTGACCAAAAACCTAAAAGAAAGGGGTATGAGAGGAGAGAAGGAAAGGAGAGCACAGAAGGAGAAGAGAGAACAGCGTGAAACTCATGGGGGAGGCTATTTTGCCTCCCCTATTACATCAACTAATACACTGAAATGTGATCACTGAATAGCAGAATTCTCAGGAGGGGTTGGTGGATCTATTAGGACAAGCTGAGGTGAGGTGGTTATGTGTTTGGTGACCAACTTGATTATTTATCCAGAGTCCTGGATAAACAGTGTGTGTCAGAAGGAAACTGACACATCTCAAACACATCTGTTGATCAGCTGGAATGACACAGAGTATGGGGGTTTTGTCACTTCTACAGCCCAAAAAGACAACCTAAGACAAGGAGTAGCACAGAAATAAAATCTCAGAGGCCCCTTAGACATTCCTCCCGCCCCCGCCCTGCTTCTCAGGCTTAATGAATTTTCACACAGTAGTGAAGGGAGTTTGGGTGTGCTATTATTGTATTGGACATTATTTATCATCTACTGCATGCTGTCACCTACGGGGCATAAAATAGAAAACAAAAAGAGGTCATGTCTACTGAACAAAATAAATGCAGGAATAAAGTTATCACTGGGGCCTAATCTGGACTTGGCGCCAGGCTGTTTTCACTCAGGATGCCCCCAAAGGGGACTGGTGAGAGCCCTCCCCACACCAAGGTACCCAGCCCTGGCAGCCAACCTACACTACCTAACCGCCATCACACTCCAGGCCACTTTCCACACGCTTGGGTCGAGCCTCACATATGAGTGAACATATTCCTGGACCTTGTGGCTGCTTTCCCAGCCGTGTGAAATATAAGAGACTCCTTACCCATTTCCATAATTGTCACTGTCATCGTCCTCCATTGTTCATTGATTTGCTTGAGTGGGCCCAGTAACATCTCCATTGTGACACTTGTTACTGTGTTTGGCATACTGAATACGTCATGGGGAGCTTGCCAGGCTTTGCCATGTGGGCAAGATACTCTTGGTAGCTTGCCGGGCTCTCAGAGAGGAGCAGAGAAATCGAACCTGGGTCAGCGGGGTTGGTCTTGTACAAGGCAAATGTCCTACCTGCTGTGTTATCACTCCAGCCCCTTTCCATAATTACCACACCATAATATATAGATATAGATATAGATATAGATATAGATATAGATATAGATATAGATATAGATATAGATATCTTGGAGAGCCCGGCCAGCTACTGAGAGTATCCCACCCGTAGGGCAGAGCCTGGCAAGCTAGCCATGGAGTATTCGATATGCCCAAAAAAGTAATAATAATGGGTCTCATTCCCCCGACCCTGAAAGAGCCTCCAACACATTGAGAAAGACAAGTAAGGAGAGGCTGCTAAAATCTCAGGGCTAGGATGAATAGAGACATTACTGGCACCCACTTGAGTAAATCAAAGAACAAAAGGATAACAGTGATACAGTGATACTGGTACCTAAAAGCTTCCATCAATTGTTTTAATTTTTTTTTTAATTTAACCAATAATTCCAAGGGTGGAAACTTAAAAAAAAATAAAAACTATGGTGTTTCCGAAGCTTGGGATGCTGGAAAGCAACTAGAAGAATCAAATTACCTGTTAGTGACATAATCAACAAGATGCTGTTTGAACATGAGGCTCCATTTCTTAATTATATTTAGCAGAGATGCTTTAAAGGGCCGTGCATCAATCTTCATCCAGCTGTCAAATACCTTGATGGGTTCTAGCCTGCAGACATCTTCATACAGTTTTTCATAGGAATCAATTTGTTCTTTAAATTGCTGGAGAAGAGGTGGGTTCTCTGGAATGCCATTTTCAGCGTGGGCTTCGATCTCTTCGGGTGTGAGGACATGACCATACAACAGAAACTGACTCAGAACCTCCTTCCGGTCCTCCATGTAGAGATAAGAATATTGGCCAAAGGTGTTCCTGTAGTTGCAGCAACGGGTCATCATGCTCTGCACCCTCTCCAGGAGCGTGCTCCGCATGCTGGTCAAGTCAGCCATACCTTCCATGGCAACCTGGAGGAGAAAAAGAACAGCAAGCTGATTAAACAAGCAGCACATGCATATTTAAATGGAAAGTAGAATGACTATGCAGCAAGTACCTGATAGTGAGGACAGCCAGTTTGTGGGGAAAGTCGTGGAATCAAAGATGAAATTCTAAAAATGTTGGTAAGAAGACTTTCAACAATGTCATGGAAGCCCCCTTTCACTTCAGACTCCATTGATGGAAAGAAAACTAATTCTGGTATTGCTAGACTCAATTGTGCTTCAAATAGAGGTGTGAGTCCTGTCTTACACTCTGAAAACCAAGGAAAATACAACAAAAATGGAATAAAATGGACAGGGTAAAGTGCCGTTTTAAAGCACCCAGAATACTTCTTTTATTTAAAAAAGCTACTTGAAATAGGAAATATAAATGTGAAATTTGCTAGCACTCTAGAAAAAGTGAAGGTAACTACTGTGCAGTACTCAAACTGGGAAACCACTGAAATTCTGAACAGGCCAATTCATATACAAAGGAGTCCATACAACATTTACTCTCTTCAAGGTCAACATTACTCTCTTCAAGGTCTACAACATTACTCTCTTCAAGGTCAGAGATTAAGTTCAACTAATTGTGGAGTTAGGCAGCTTTTTCCACATTTCCAAATGCTTCCTGATTGGAGGTGGCACTGGTAGTTATTGCTTTTGCTTGAATTTGCAAGGTCAATTTCTTGGAAGCAGCTACTTTTCCTAGGCACAAAACCTACAGTTCCAATGCCAGTCCTAGGGGCCCAAGAGTGGTGGCTTATTCATGAAAAAACACTTTAGCTACTATCCTTGTTTTGTTCTATTTCTATATAATTAAACTTTATTTTAATTTTGTAGTACTTCAGTGATAACATTTTTCATTACTGGCTAGACTAACTTGTCTTATTAAATTTAAATAAAAGATAATGTGGTTATAAAGATGATACAAAAGTGTAAGATAAATAAACTTATCCTTAATCCCTTATTTTTCTTTATTTTAGAAATATTTATGAGACTGTTGTGTGTGGGATACCCATAAGTGGCATGTAAATTCCTTTCCCTAATAAATAGTTATGACTGGGCATGTAACATTTCATATTCATACTGGAAATTTTGGGTCCCATTTTGGGTATTGAAGCTCTTGAAACAAATGCATTGTAGCTGTGTTCTCACTTTTCCTATTCCATATTCTAGATCCTGGATGTTGTAGCAGTTTTATAGCATATGCACCCTAGCTTTTGTGGGTCCTTGGGATTTATATATAAGATTAATGCATAGAACTCCAAATGTTTGGGGGATTTTTTAGTTCTTTATTATACATCTTCAGCTTCTGCTGCAAGCCAAGACAGTTGTATACTAGTTTCACACCGTTCCAGTTTCACCCTGATCCATCTCATATGGTTTCTGAAATGTCTGCAATGCTTTGTGTATGAAAAATAGCACGCTGGTCTGTGCTACCTGATGCTCAGAGGCCTTTTGTGGTCTGTCTTTCCTTTCTGATATTTGCTGTCCAACTGTGTCTTTGTTCTCTGTCTTTGCATGTATGTGACAGCTGTTGTTTCTCTCTGCCCTATGTCTACACATGGGATCAGAAAGAGGAATATATCTATCTGGTGCCTCCTTTAATGCTCTACTTATACCAATCGTAGCTATCTCTGTTGCTTAACTGGCTACACCCCCTGTCAGTGAAACTTAAAATGACCAATTGGATTACTTGAATATCTGACACACTTACTCCCTTACTTCCACCAAAATATTAACTCACAAATGAAGACACATGACCATGGAAGTGAAGATGAAACCTAAAATGGTAGAACCATGGAAGAGAAGAGAGCTGCACACTAGCCTGTTGTCCTTACCTTGGACTAGTACTTTGGAGGATAGATTATCTGTTTTTTTTTTTTATTTTTTTATCATTTTTTTTATTAGTGAAACACCATGAAGTACACTTATAGACTTATAAATTTTTGTGCTTGGGTTTCAGTTATACAATGATCAAGTACCCATCCCTCCACCAGTGCCCATCCTCCCCCACCACGGGTCCTAGCATCCCTCCCACCCCCATTCCCCCCCCCCCCCCCCCCCCCGTCCCACCCTGCCGCTGTGGCAGGGCATTCCTCCCTGTTCTATCTCTCTTCTTTTGGGTACTGTGTTTTGCCAGAGAGGCATTGAGTGGCAGTCATGTTTGGTCTATAGACCACTTTTAGCATGTCTCTCCCACCCTGGGAGGGTCTTCACAACACCCTTTATTTGGTGCTCTCTTCTCTATCTGAGCTTCCTTCTCACCTAGCACATGTGGCTGGCCTTCAAGTCATGGAGCAAAATTCCTGGTACTAATCTGAGCCCTTCCTGGGTGTTAGTCTCCCGTTTTGTTGCTTTATGTTCCCCAGATGAATGCAATCTTTCTGTGTCTATCCCGCTCTTTCTGACTCATTTCGCTTAACATGATACTTTCCATGTAGTACCACTTGTATGTAAATTTCATAACTTCATCTTTTCTAACAGCTACATAGTACTCCATTGTGTAAATGTACCAAAGCTTCTTTAACCAGTCATCTGTTCTCGGGCACTCAGGTTTTTTCCAGATTCTGGCTATTGTAAAGAGTGCTGCAATGAACAAACAATTGCAGATGTCACTTCGACTATACATTTTTGCCTCTCTGGGATATATTCCCAGGAGTGCTATAGCTGGGAAAAAGAAAATGGGAGGAATCAACCTACCTAACTTCAAGCTCTACTACAAAGCAGTAATAATCAAAACAGCATGGTACTGGAACAAAAGCAGAGCTGCAGACCAATGGAATAGAGTTGAATATACTGACATCTCCTCCCAAACATATAATCATCTAATCTTCGATAAGGGGGCAAGAAAAGTGAAATGGAGCAGAGAAATCCTCTTTAATAAATTGTGCTGGCAAAACTGGACGGCTACATGCAAAAAAGTGGGCTCAGATCTCTGCCTAACACCATGCACAAAAGTAAGATCGAAATGGATTTATGACCTCAACATCAGACCGGAATCCATAATGTTTATTGAAGACAAAGTTGGCAAAACTCTCAACGATATTGAAGTTAGTGGTATCTTCAAAGATGTCACGCCACTGGCTGAGCAAGTGAAAACAGAGATAGACAAATGGGACTATCTTAAACTAAGAAGCTTCTGCACCTCAAAAGAAACAGTGACCAAAATACAAAGACAGCCTACAGAATGGGAAAGAATATTCACCAAATACACATCCGACAAGGGGTTGATTTCAAGGATATACAAGGTACTGGTTAAACTACACAAGAAGAAATCACCCAACCCCATCAAAAAAATGGGGCGAGGAAATGAACAGAAACTTTCGCAAAGAAGAAATCCGAATGGCAAAAAGGCACATGAGAAAATGCTCTACATCACTAATCATCAGAGAGATGCAGATCAAAACAACAATGAGATATCATTTCACACCACAGAGACTGGCACACATCCACAAGAACAAAAGCAACAGGTGCTGGCGCGGATGTGGCGAGAAAGGGACCCTCCTTCACTGCTGGTGGGAATGCAGGCTGGTTCAACCCTTTTGGAAAACAGTATGGACGATTCTCAAAAAATTAGAATTCAATCTCCCATTAGATTATCTGTTGTTTAAGCCAGTATTTCTCAACCTTTTTTCTGGCCAAATCACCCTAAACTTTCGTTCTTTTTTGTGTCCTGTTCCCCTATCATGTCAGCCCCAACTTTTGTGTCTTGCCTCCTTCCTCATTTACATTATTTTTACCTGTGTCCTCCTTGTAATATCCCCCAGTTGATAAATGTTGCTTCAAGCAACATTTTTTTTCCAGAGGACACATCAGGTGGTGCTCAGGGATCACTCCAGGCAATGCTCAAGGACCACATGGGGTGTCAGGAATGGAATCCTGGTTGGTCACTTGCAAGACAAGTACCCTATCCACTGTGCTGTCTCTCCAGTCCCCTAAGCAACACTGTTGATGAGAGTTTTGTTACTGTAACTTAATTATCCACCCTAACTAAAAATTCCTGAATTCTACAAAGATATATAAGACTTGGTTCTTAATTTCAAAAATTTTAAAAAATTGGTAAACCTGCATTGCGTCTCAGGAGTATTACATTAAATGCATACTTAAAGGAAAGAAAGTTTACGTAGAGTATGGAAACCACTACATTTATAGAGTGGATAAAGCATCTTAAGGGGCTGGAGAGATATTACAGGGGTTGAGTTGCTGGCCTTATATACTGCTGACTCTGGTTCAACCCCTGGCAATGCATGCAGCCCCATAAGCACTAATCAGGGGTCACTTCTGAACAAGGAATAGCTTCCCAAAATAATAATAAAAATAATAATGGAGACATGCTTTGATGAAGGGACTCTAGAAACCAAGATTTGAAAAAAAGTTAAGAAAAATGTCTATAAGCATCTAAGAAAGGGACTAAGATCCCCATGGAATTCTGGGTTACATGTGAAATTGTTAATTCTATTCTCCTATTTTAGAAAAGCACAGTTGAGGAGGAGGATATTAGGGATGGTACAGCTTCAGCTCCTCCCATATCTAAGTCTCAAGAGGGTTTTCATAGTAAAAATATTTCTGAGGTTGGTGAATATAGCTCCACTTCCAGCGCATCAGATGAAAGTGATGCAGATTATGAGTTGCTACTACTTCCTCAGATTCTGAGTCTGAGAGTGACTCAGCAAAGTGGCCTCCAGACCGCTCAGGGCATACTCCAAATCGTCTAGTCCAGGCTGAGAAGGAGCCTCCATCTTATCGCAGGTTAAGAATGGATTCTCTCAGTTGTTTCAAAAAGGCCTGTGCCTCCTACGGGCCTACATCTCCTTATTGTAGGGAGTATTTTACAGACTGGAGTAAAATGGCTTACTGGGTACCTCAAGATTTTCACGTGGTTGCTAAAATGTGCTTAAGCCATTCTCAGTATATGCAGTGGAGGATGTGGTTCAGCGAAGAGGCCAAGGCAAAGCTTCAGGACCTAGGCCATGCTGGACGAAAATTTTCAGGGATTAAATTGATCTATGAGATGTTAATAGGTGAAGGGAAATGGCAAGACCCAAAAAGACAAGTCACCTTGCCTCATGCTATTTTTGCCCAGGTCCCTGAGTGACACAGCCCTGCATGCAGGGGAGAAGATTGATGCAGATGTAAAATTTAAGGGAAGTTTTACTAAGATTGTCCAGAGGGCCTCAGAACATTATGCAGACTTCATAGGAAGGTTGATAGAAGCTATTGAAATGCAGGTTAAGGGTTTCCTTAAAACTCAAGGGCTGTTGACTAAACAATTGGCCTTTGAAAATGCTAATGATGATTTCCAGGCCATTCTGTGCCTTATCAAAGAGAAGGAAGATATAATGGGGTATTTGAAAGCAAGCAGGAATGTTGGTTCTGTTAAACTTAAGGTGCAGATGAAGGCTTTTGAGGCCTAGAGACAAGCTCAGAAAAGATGTTTTAATTGTGGAAAACCAGGCCACTTTCATAAGGACTGCAGGGAACATACTAAATGTGCTACTGTGAGAGCACCTCCTGGGCCCTGTCCCAGGTGTAAGAACCTGAAATTTATTGGACTCCTAATAGCTACTCCCTTGGGACTCATTGCTGCAATCACTACTGATGCTGTTACAGGAACAACTCTTCAATTTTGATCCAGACACTTCATTTCTTCAGAACAGAAAATAAATGACTCTCATCATTGGTGGCTCTTATCACCCCTGGACAGTGTAGGACAATTGGACGCTTTACTACAAGCACTGCTTGGGTCCTCAGTTGCCCTCACTTCCTAGTGTCCCCCAAAACAGGGTCCCAGTGAGTGACTGGGTGGAACCAGGGCAAGCAGTAAGCTATGTGCTACCCTGGCATTGAGATGGGCCTAGCCAATTCTTAACTATAAGCTAAGGGTTTGATCATGGACAAATGGACAAATGCTGTCATGATCCAAAAGTAACGATGAGATTAGGACCCTGCTAGGGATAGGAAAGACTAATCTGGCCTGAGCACTGTAGGCTGAGATCAGGATGACCCCAGGAGAGCAATTCTGTAAGTTTAATGCATCTCTTACTGTGTCCATGCAAAATGATTAATGTTATGAATGCTTATATGGGCTCATTAAACAGTCACTTTAAATTTACTTCTTAATAATCTTTCTAGTCATTTTTGTATGAACATAGTCATAGTTATATTAAGCTTATAAGGTAGCTCTCCTAGGAACATCTCACCATAGATACCAGACTATAGTCCTCAGGCCAGATTCACTTAATCACTTAACTTCCCGTTAGTCGTCGATTTGCTCAAGTGGGCGCAAGTAATGTCTCCATTTGTCCCTGTCGCGTCCTAGTGTAGCCCAATGGCATCTCTTCGCTCCGGGAACATGAAGGGCCTTAAACTGATCGTTCATGATCTTGACGAAGAAGTCTGACCATCTGGTAGGTGGGCAGCCACACGGTCTTTTGACATCCCGTGGAATCCAGTCGGTAATCCAGCTCTACTCCAGCGGTCGTCTTTAAATCTCATTACGTGACCAGCCCATCTGATTTTTGACACCTTGGCAAATGAGACAGCGTCCCTGATTCTTGATCGTCGACGGATGTCAGAACTCCGGATTCTTCCTCTCATTTGAGTGAAACGTGATATTCCAAGCATAGCTCTTTCTATTCTTCTTTGGGAGACCTGAATAGCGTTCTCATCTTGTTTACGTAGGGCCCAGGTCTCTGAGGCATATGTTAATGCAGGAAGAACAGTGGAATCAAAGAGATGTGCCTGGAGCCGGAGGTTCTTCGTCCTCTTAGCTATTTCTTCGACGTTCTTGAAAGCATTCCAAGCTGCTCTCTTCCTCCTGCGCAGTTCGGGTGCCAGGTCATTTGTCATGTTGACCTCTCGACCTAAGTACACATAGCTGTTGCATTCAGACACTACTTCCACTACCCAGCCGTCGCCACACTTCAGGACGCTTTCCAGACCCATGTGGCAGCTCCGGCCGAGACTCACGCACGACTGAAGTCCCACAGAACAAGATAAGCGGAACTCTCTGAGACCTTGGATTCCAGGCTCGGCAGACCCAGGGACAGAGCTTCTCTGCTTGCTCCCACCAACAACAGGTGACAAAGGGATTCTAATCAGGAGCCCCACCCTGTCTGCTTCCATCAACCACCCAGGGATCGAATTGCGAACAGGAGACCCACCCTACCCAGATAAATACCCCACTGGCAGAATTCCACAATCGACACTACTTCCACTACCCAGCCGTCGCCACACTCCAGGATGCTTTCCGGACACATCATAAGACACTAAATACCCATCTTCCGGAATTGTCGTACCGTATTTGATAGGGTTCAAATATGGTAACACCTACAAGGGTGATTAGAGGTCGCCCCAAAAGCCTCTATCCCTCTCGGATAGACTGGCAAGCTATCGAGAGTATTCCGCCCGCATGGAAGAGCCTGGCAAGCTATCCGTTGTGTATTCGATATGCCAAAACCAGTAACTACAACTGGTCTCCTTCAGGCCAGATTAGTCCTTCCTAACCCTAGCAGGGACCTTGTCCAGTCACTTCTCTTTGGGTTGTGACAGAATTCAACCACGACCATGCTCTTAATTTATTTTAAGTTATGGCAATTGGCCTGTACCGTTTTGATGCCAGGATAGCTTACAGCTTGCCCTGGGTGCATCCAAGACCCTTCATTGGGACCCTAATTTTGGAGTGCTAAGAACTAAGAGCAACTGAAGCTTAAGTCAAGTGTGAGGTCTCATTTTATTCTTAACATCATATATCCACACACAGCATTTTTCCAGGGTAGCTCTGGGATGGTTCATGCCCTATCAGACCCAAGCAACTAATAATTGCTCCTGGTTTGGTCCATGATAAATATACTGGTAGCACTGGATGTAGCTGCAGACTTCTGAGCACAGGTCGAGGGACCTCACTTTTCCAAATGGATTAGTTAGCTTTTAAATGTTTTTATATTTACTATGGGATTTACCACCTGACCGCCTTGCTTACCATTTATGCTATAAAGATTCAAAAATTCTTATCTGAGGCTGGAGTGATAGTACAGCGGGTAGGGTGTTTGCCTTGCACAGGCCAACCCGGGTTCAATTCCCAGCATCCCATATGGTCCTCCGAGCACTGCCAGGAGTAATTCCTGAGTGTAAATAACCAGAAATAACCACTGTGCATCGCCAGGTGTGACCAAAAAAAAAGTTCTTATCTTAAAATAATTATACCTTTGTTATACTATGTGTGAATCCCAAAGTATCCACTACATTTTAGGAAAAATCTCACTTCAGTATAAGGTTGCAAAAGCTATCACTATCATCTTCACTGTGATAACACACATTTATAAATCCAGTCAATACCAGTATTTTCCAGGAGATACTTGAGAGAACATTCAATGGCTTGAAAGAATCCATCCAGCAACATATTATCGATGTAATTAATATATGTCTTCCAGGCACTGGAGGTTGAGTCAGCTGAAAACAGACCTAGGTTTTCCTATAAGATGAAAAATGTGTGAAAAATATATATATAATCACATGGAAAACTGGTAAAATTGCCATTAAAATGATTAAAAACAGCAAAATTATTCTTATAAGGAATTTGTTATTTTATATATGCCAAATTAATATTACCTAATAGGTACAATACTTGATTGAAAGGAGCCAGAGTTAATCCATAAAGGAAATACGGTACCTTGCCATGACTGAGGAAGGAGAATAGGGTCAGGCAACCTCACGGGAGGAATGTTAATGAACGCAGTGTGCATTTTATGCTGATTGAAATGAGGTAATGCAATTGATTGATGTAATTTAATTTAATGAGTAATATGTAATTTGGTTGATGTAATGTTTGAATGATATAATCCTGATTGATGATGTAATGTGAAAGAAGGTACATCAATAGAAGTTAGGTTAGGTAGAGGAAAATATATTAAGGGTAAAAGGCATTCCAATTTAGATTTGTAAGAAATGTAGATTTTGAGCAAATAAATCATTGCCTGGATAATTCTTAGAAATGACTTGATAGTCTTCGATATGAAATAAAAGTCTTTCTCATGTCACTTGGCTTAGAAAACATATAGAAATATGCCTGCCTCCCTGACCCATTGATATAGCAAGTGCAGACATTCCATTTCTTTTCCACCATTTTCATTACTAAACTTATTTAATAGACTCCATTTGTCTTATAAATTTAGAAAAATCAATAAACACTTTTAAAATGCATATTTCTAGTTAAATCACACATATTTAGGAAATGTTGGCATGTTGTAACTCTCCTGGGATTTAAAATTTCTTATGATCCTGACTTTTTGTTTTATTGAATCACCATGAGATACAGTTACAAGCTTTCATGTTTGAGTTACAATCATGTAATGTATGATCCTGACTTTAAGCAATAAAATTAAAAATGTATTCTTACAACTTCTTTCGTAAGTGAATTTAAAAAATTTTTTTGATGATGTAAAGTCATAACACAGTGATAGTTGAGTTGCCTCCAGGTGTTTGTTTTATACTTCTAATATTTTATGTGAAATATATAACATTTATATTTTAAAACTTTGTGACTGCTTTGTTCTACCTCTTCATCACAATATCATAGATATGATCATATGTACCTTTTATGTCCATACTTAAAACATACTATTGTCTAAAGAACAAACATATTGAATTTTTCCATGAACTAAGAAGAAACACCTCATGCTCCGATCCTATCTAAGATAGAGGAGTGAGATTGGAATTTTCCTTCTGATACTTGTTCTTCTAAAACAAACAAGAAAACTGAATACAGAAAAATTTGTATGATATTGGGACAACTGTATAATAAACAATACTGTTATATGACCCTTTCAAGGACCATATTCTATTTGGTTATTTTACCAGCTTACTGACTTTCAATCTAGCATCAGTTTCCTTAGATCTAGAAATGGATCTGTGTTCCTGGTAGAAAGAAAGACATACATTTTTGTATACACTGCTGTGTATTTTTTAATTCTTTTTTTTTCATATTGTTTACTAAAGACAGTGATTTACAATGCTGCTCATAATAGAATTTTTTCAGGAATACCATGTTTCAACATCAATCCCACCACCATAGTCCCTAAGGTGCTGCCTTAGGGAGGCATCCCCATTCTGCCCCTTGGCAGAAACTAATTTATTTCATACTAATTGCTCCAATAAAGCTAATTATTGAAGATAAATCAACAAAAGTCAATTGTAATAACTAATTGCTATATGTAAATAAAGAAATTCTAAACATTCAGTTCAATAGGCAATAGTACATTGCCTATTCTCATTTACATAACTAAGTTTTTAACTCTAGCATCTAAAACAAATTTCATTAAATTTTATTTTGGGGGGCAGTGTGCCCAGAAAAAAGACCCAGGAAATTGCAAGACCCCCCATCTCAGCCAAGGTGCCCCCCAAGAACCTAGGCCAGAGGGCATCCCCAGCAAGATTTAGAACTGAATCAGAAGTGGGAACTTAATCCTGCTCAGGTCCTGATGTGGTCGACTCCCCCACAGGTATGGCGAAGGGCGTGGCCTCCGGGGCTATTTTTCCCTTTCTCAGAGATTTGGACTCACATCTTAATCTCCATTACCTAATTCTGGGAAGGACAGCCTTGCTGTCACAAGGCCAATAGGACACTAGGCCAATAGGACACTAGCCTATTCCAATCTCACCAAAATAAACCTGAACACAAAAAACTAAACAACTCTAACATAAAAGAACACATCCTCTGAAGCTACACTAGAGGATACACATAAGTCACAGAGGAGCACCAAAGAGGAAGTTAGTATTATAGAAGGGGAAAAAGGTGACCACCATCGACTGAGTCCATCCAGAATCCTTTCTCAAAGCAAGAGGGGGACACAGAGATAGTGAACAGGAGGGACCCACCTCCATACTATCACCACAACAAGAAGAAACAGCACAAATCCCCACCACGAGGAGTGGATGAAGAAAAGAGCCCAGAAGCCTCAACAAGGAACACCAACACATACATTCTCTCCGATAAATGTTGAGGATGTTTAATAAAATCAAATAAATGGTGGAACAGCCATCTAGTAAATTAATGGAGGACAAGAAAGAAACAGTGGAATGGACAGTCAATAAAAGACAGCAATAAAGGAGAGCAGAAAGAAGAAAGCTACAAACAGAAATGTCCCTAATAAAAGATTCAGTAGAAGAAATAAAAAACTCAGTGGGTGCCCTCAACAGTAGAATGAAAATAGCCGAAGACTATCAGTGAGCTTGAAGATAAGCAGCAGAAAGCATACAGGAAACAACATACAATGGGGAAAGACCTCAAAATAGCTCTAGGGAGAATCAAAGACCTAGGGAATGAACCAAACCACAACACCCAAAAGGAGAGAGAGAACAGAGGGGAATGCCCTGCCACAGAGGCAGGGTGGGATGGGGGGTTGGAGGGTGGAAGGGATACTGGGATCCGTGGTGGTGGGAAATGGGCACCGGTGGAGAGATGGGTATTTGATCATTGTATAATTGAAACCCAAGCACAAAAATGTCTGCAATTGTACCTCATGATGTCTCACTATTAAAAATATTTTAATAAAAAAAAAGAAACAACATAAGATTTATTGTTGTACAAGAAGGACCAGGAAGCAACCTCAATGAAGTAGCAACTAGAGCTGGAGAATGTGGGCATCCAGATCCAAGGATCCAAGCATCCAAGCAGGGTACTGGCTAAAAGAGACCCTAATAAAAAGACCAAGACATATCATAATCAGACATATCATAATCAGAATGATGAATACCATAGATAAAGACATACTGCAAGCAGCAAGGTCAAAGAAGAAAATCACATACAAGGAGAACCCCTTAGATTTACAGCAGACTTCTCAGAGGAAATCCTCCAAGCCCAAAGACAATGGTGGGATATAGAGAAAAAAACACAATGAAATGAATGCTTCGCCAAAATACTCGATCTGGCTAACCTCTCACTCAAACTTGAAGGAACGATACACCATTTCTTGAATAAACAACAACTCAGAAACTTCATAGACTCAAAACCAACATTAAGGGGCTGGAGAGATAGCACAGTGGGTAGGGCGTTTGCCTTGCTCGCAGCCAACCTGAGTTCGATTCCCAGCATCCCATATGGTCCCCTGAGCACCGCCAGGGAGTAACTTCTGAGTGCAGAGCCAGGAGTAACCCCTGTGCATCACCAGGTGTGACCCAAAAAGCAAAAAAAAAAAATTAAAAGAAGGACCAAAGGGGTTACTATAAGACAAGAAAAACACCTACACTCTTAAATGTATATGCACCTAATTAGGGACCAGCTAAATACTAAAAAAACCTGCTAACATATTTTAAGGAGGACATTGCTAGCAATACAGTAGTAGTCAGAGACTTCAACACCACATTATCACCTCTGGATAGATCAACAAGAACAAAACTAAGAAAGGAAACATTGGTGTTGAAGGAAGAAATAGAAGAGAGAGGGCTAATAAACCTATAGAGGGCTTTACACCCCCCAAAGAAGGAATACACATCCTTTTCCAGTGTACATGGAATATTTTCCAAAATAGACCATGTGCTAGGTCACAAAACATACCTCAATAGTATCAGGAAGATATAAATAGTATCAACAATCTTTTTGGACCATGATGTGCTGAAGATAGAAGCTAATCATACACAGGCACAGAGAACCAAATAAAAAACCCAGAAATTAAACAACTCAACGTTGAACAACGAGTGGGCAACTCAACGTTGAACAACGAATGGGTCAGGAAGGAAGTCAAGGACAAAATCAAAAGATACCTGGAAACAAATGAGAATGAAAATATGAGCAACCTGAACCTATAGGATGCAGCTAAAGCCATGTTAAGAGGAAAATGTATAGCTTTGCAAACATTCTTCTGGAAGGAAGAAAGGGCCTACAAAGATAATCTGACTTCACACCTAAAGATCTTAGAAAAAGATCCACAAAAGGAACCCAAATACAGTCAAATGAAATAAATAATAAAACTTAGAGCAGAAATTAACAACATGGAAACCCCAAAAACAACCTGAAAGGTCAATGCAACCAAGAGCTGGTTCTTTGAGAAAATAAACAAGATTGATAAACCACTAGCAAGACTCACAAAGAGAGAGAAAACCTTAATAAACCAAATCAGAAATGAAAAAGTGGACATCACAACAGAAACCAATGAAATTCTAAAGATCATCAGAAACTACCTAGAGAGTATGTATGCCACGAAACAAGAGGATTTAGAAGAAATAGATAAATTCCTGGATTCCTATAATCTTCCAAGACTGAACCAAAAAGACTTTAAATACCTGAACAGACCCATATGTATCAAGGAAATTGAAACTGTAATCAAAAGTCTTCCCAAAAATAAAAGCCCAGGCCTAGATGGATTCACTAGCGAATTCTTCCAACCATTTAAAGAGGACCTGCTCATGGATAGGAAGCATTAATATTGTCAAAATGGCAATACTCCTGAAAGCATTATATGGACTGAATGTGATCCC